ATAGATATGGTTTGGCACACAAAGTAGCAAATACAATCAAGATATGAAAAAGATGTAAAGTTTTATGGTTTTTATTTGGAGTTGACAGAATTGGATGAAATACTCACAGGAACAGAAGAGTGAATGATTAAAAAATAAAAAAAATATTAATTTGTGTTAAGTTGAAAGAAGAAGTAAAAGAAACAATGACAGGAATTTTTTTGGGATAAATGTATAACTTATAAGTTCTATAACAGAATTTGAGAAGTGGCAGCAATTATGAGAAAGGAATTATAAATTAACAATGGCAACAGCATATAAAGAGAATTTGTATAAAATGTTTTATAGATGGCATATGTCACTGGAAAGACTGGCAAAAATGTTTAAAGATAAATCAACCAAGTGTTGGAAATGTCACCTGACGCCGGGATCATATTATCGTATGTGGTGGACATGTGCAGAGGCAAAAAAATACTGGGCAAAAATTTGCATGTGGTTGGAAAGAATGATACAGCAACATATTGATTTAAAACGGGAACGGTTTAAAAAAATTAGACATGCAGAAATGAATAGATTAATGGTGGCAATTAAAGAGAAGGAAAAATCAGAGTATTAAAAGATATGGGGATGTTTTAAATCACTGGATTGAAAATGAATATAGACAAAAAGAAACAGAAAACTGAATAATTTGGAAAGAACATAGAATTATAGGGGAGGCGTTAAATTAAAAGGCAATTGAAATGTAAAGGCAAGATAAAAATAGATTTAAAATGATGCAACTGTTAAATATTTAAAGACTGTACCCAGATGACACACTCTAACATTAATGATATAAGAGTAGTTATGGAATTTTTTTAAAAAAAAACTTAAAAAAAAACACAAGTGAGGAAGGAAGTTGGGACTGAGGGGGGAGGATGGGGGAGAGAAAAATCCAGCCCAGGACATGAGATCCCCCATGTTTCTTCCCATCCCCCCCATCCCTCCCACCCGTCGCCCCTAATGAAGAACTGGTTCAGCCCCTGGCTGAGCTCTGAGAGGTAGAAGTAGGTAGACGTAGGACAGGGA